ACATATTAAAATTTTAAATAGAATTATTATGTAAAATTTTGTGTAATTAATAAATAAATGATGTGCGATACTTTTGTCCAAGTAGTGTATATGTCTTACTAATCGTTGTATCATTGAAATAACACGTTCATGCCCAAAACTTAGACATCTTGAGCTTGGTGATTGCTCAATTAATAACAAAGCTATTGAGGAAATAGCCCACAATTGTACTAATTTGAAATATCTTAGTTTGGAGGCATGTAAAGGGATTAGCGAAGAAGTGATGGAAAAACTTAATCCAAAAACCCTACAGATATAACAGTTTTATATCCAAATTCGGAAATTATATTGGAGTATCATCAAATTTAATTAATCCAGAACAAGATAATTTATTAAATATTCTTACTCGAGCCGTTGATCAAGAATCACATCGATCGTGGAGGATAGATAATTAATCATGGTGAATGCCTAGTTAATGCATATTAAAGTATTGGGTGCTTTCTTTTCCAACTGTTAATATCGGCGCAAAAGGGACATCTCTGAATCTAGTTTTAAAATGAAATAAAACCCGGCTAAAAAGTTCGTTAGAAGGTGGTATTCGCTTCAAAATTTTTTCACTGATACTTTCCGTTATTTTGATTACCCATAAAATATGAATAAGATCCCCACCCTTGTAGTTATGTTCGTGATGAAGCAAAAATCGATACAATATCAGTCATCTTCTCTTGATCCGATATTAATTCCTGGAAAAGTTGTTTATCTTCCTCTGTAACTGGTAGACGAATTTCTTCAGGACTAAAACCTATATACTTAGAAATCTGATCACATAGTTCATAAGACATTTTTTGTAAATATAATACTATCGGCGGAGCTGGCATGGATAAAAAAATAATTTCATGTGATCTCAAAACAAATCAATTATTTATCGCAATAATGAGACGCCATATTTCGTGTATTCGTTTATATGATATATGATATTTTCTAGATAAAAACGGTAATGCATTTACTTTACCTCTAGTAGTAATAATATCACTAATTGCTTCAGATGATAAGTGAGTCACATCTGTTCTTAATCTCCTAAACATTTGTATATTGATTAACTTTGAATATATATAATACAATAAAAAATCGGTTTAAATAATTTTGAGAAAGCAATGTTTTAAAACACAGAAAATTGGGTATCCATAATCCCTTCTTTATTATATGAAAAAAAAGTTGCCAAACGGCATACATATACTGTATGTTTCAATCAATTATATGCTTGATTCAACATTTCCTTGTGAGTAGCGGGAAAGGAACTGCCAATATATGGGTTAGGGCTCGGCAGGCTTAACAAGCAGACATGATCTTTTATGCCTTTCCTCCCTTTAAACATCCTGCTACTCTATTATTTTTACCGTATGTTATTTTATCTTGACTAGACAATTTCGAAATAAAGATTCAACAGCCAATCAAATAAGCATAATCGGAAATTGAATAAATATGTTGTATGATGTAATGCGATCTTCCTAAAAAAAAAAATTTTTCGATGTCTAAAGAAGCTAGCTCGAAGCTAAAATACTTTCACAATGAAAAATGCAAGTCTGAATATTCTGATGCTAGATTACTGGAACCGTGATACCAACACATGGGGAAGCGTGAACGATTGGGATTTTTACTGGATCGAAAAACGACCTTCAATGATGTCAATCACTAAACACGATTCACATACGGCCTTGGCTCATGAGTTAAGGTGTTTGAAACAAGTATATGAAGATAACCATCCTGCCTATAAGAAGGCTTGTGTATTGCAGGATGAATTACAGGGAAGTTATCTAGTGATGGTGGCTTGACGCAATTGACAGGTGGTGCCAGCGTACTCCATAGCTAATCCAGCAACCGTGGGTTGAGAAGGTTTTGCCGTGGGTAAAATCGATGGGTAGTGCCATGTGTACGTGGCCGTGGAAACGTTGGGCCAGGCCGTGGCGTCTGGACAGGGAACTCTTCACTTGAGCTAAACTCGTGGGCCGTGGCGTCACCGGGGGAGGGCCGTGGCGTCTGTTGCTTCTCGTGAACCTCCTTCCCATCAAATATCTCAAAAGTGCATTTATTGAACCTCTTAGATTGCCATTAAAACACTGTCTTTTTTTTTATGTAGGGTATTACAAAAAACGAATCAAACAAATATATATGGGAAACAAAGGATCGAATCGCATAAACAAAAGTAGAATCCGAACTGATTGAACTGGAGTTAGAAATTGAAAGGGCAAGTAATTTTAATAAACCCTTTGTTCCCTCATAACAGCTCGTTATTCAATTCTTGTTGAACTCGTTATTGCAGAAAAAGGGAAGACAAGCAGTCCATCAAATAGCACGACGGGGATGTCAAGCATATTCTGATATAGAATTTGGTCCTGTGGAACGAGAGCAAAAGAGGATTAGAGTGAATGAAAATGAGACAGTTGAAGATTCCTCTCCCATTACCATTCCTCTATACCAGTGTTCATATTCCTCAAAGTGACTCTTTTACAAAAATCAACGGGTATTGATTCCTATTTCAAAAAGTATCAATTCTGCAACTCCAGCTGTTAAATTTTCAGGAGTCGAGTTTCAAGAGCAATAACGTAAAGTTTATGTTGAAAGCATAAAGAACAAAGAGATACCATCGGTCTTAAAACCCCTTCTAATGATAGCACTGAAGTGCTTGAGGATGACGAAGAAGTCAAATTTAATTTAGAAAATATTTCCAGTGAATTGAAGCGCGAACCAACGGTTGAAGTATGTCAAATGTCAAATTCATGTACTGCCTGTATCTCACAATTTACTTCCTTGTATAGTGGAAAGTCGGTTCTATAAACATAACCGATAGATTTCGGCAATATCAGAACGATGTTCACCAGAAGGTGAAGAGAAAGGGATTAAAATATGATAATAATAGACAATATGAAGAATATTATATTCCGGTTAATTGGATAAATTCTAAAAAGAGTTAATTGCAGGTTAGATTCCAAAAGCGACTTTTAGAAATAGGAGCATAGACTTTAGACTTTATTTCGTTATCCTGAGGGTCAGTAACATTTTTTACTTTAGTTGTTATTTTATCCGACACAAAAAAAACCCCCTCAGTACAAATAGAATTTATTTATTTTTCAACATCTACTTCAACCTCTATCAAGCTGAATACTGATAGCTATTTCATTGAAGAATTGTAGCGAATAAGATGTTAAAACCATCACTCTAACTTCAAATCGGCAGGATCGATCAGCTTCTCAATAATATAAGAAGTGGCAGATAGATGTATTATATTGTTGCATTAATAAATAATGGAAAAAATAAATATTATCTCATTATTGTGAATGCAGAACAGGCCCGTAGGGGCGAGTTATTGCGAAGCAATGACCCAAAGGGTCTATTTTCTTTGAAAATAAGCGAAGCTCTACACTAATGGCTCTTTGAACCTACTTATTAGAAAGATCAAGAGGTTGGTCCCATCCTTTGCGAATATATAGAGGATCTTCTTTTGCTAGTTAAATTAATAATAATAAATTCTCTACTTTGCAAATTTTTGTCAAGTATATTGACAACATCATGCCATTTTTTTGTATATCATCGGGCAATATTAACTAGTTCATCATATGTCCCACTGCCATTAAAGAGAACAATATAATCAAGATTTTTTTCTTATTAATTTTGGGTAGTCAAAGAAGGATTGTAGTATATATATTACTAATATTTTTATAATGCCCTTTAGTAAAATAACAAGCAATTTTTTCTTGTATTTTTTTAGGTTCTGTATATACTGTACATCTTTGAATATAGTTACTATCCCTCTTTCAGGAGAAAAATCATCAACTTTTGGCATTTTATCAGGTTTCATTGAGGTGTGGAATTAAGGCCATTAAATTTCTCTATATTTTTGTATTCATCAATATTTAAAACCATCTTTTCAACAGGATCTAGCTTTTTTATTTCATTTTGATCAAGCTGTCACTAATTATTATATCAAAAAATAATGGCACAAATTACTACTTATATCTAACCAAAATTATGTTTATAGTTCTGATTTATAAATTAAATACTGCATATTATATATCAAATATAAAAATGGTTGAACTTTGTAAACAACCTTCCAAATTTAGAGTTTCAAACATTATGAGTTTGTTTTTCAGAAACAAAGAGAAATTAATGACTATTTTGAAAAATTATTGCAGATCAAAAAATGACAACCAATATTGTGTTGGATAATTTTTATTTCTTGCTCTATACTAGATATAATGGTAAAGATAATCAATTAATATACTATATATTGGATTATTAATATATGCAATATAGAAAAAATGTGAAAAAGTTTTATTGAATATTACTCATGACATTACTAATAAAATCATAATACATCTTCAATATAAATTCAAAGATATTCCATAGTAAGGTATCTGAATATCCCATTACAATTGTATTTAGAGTATAATATTGTTAACTGATAAGATAGTATCAAATATTGTGTTCATTAATACCTGTATTTTTATGTCATTCCAAAACACTTTCACCTCAAC